AGGACCTTATACGTAGTCGGTCCAGAATGTATGGTTGGATCAGATCTCTCTAATCTTTATTTCTTTAGTTGTTTTGACTGCTCTCCAGTCCAAATGAATTGTCGCTCCGACTAGGAGTTCTACCTTCTCTTCCGATTGTTTTCAAGCTGTTTCTTTCATTGGGTTCGTTAAATGTCTGCGTCTATACGATCGCAAACGAGAGAGAGAGAGAAGAGAGAAACTTCTGAGCGTTGCTCTTGAGGGAGTGAGAAGAGGGAAGAGGAGTGTTCGTCCTAGAAAAGTGAGGAAGTACGGAGCTCTCTTGAGATACTTATTGACTCCCTCGTCCTCCATCATGGCATCTACAACAGAATGGAGGCTGCAAATGGATGCTGCCCCTGAGGCAGAAAAAGCGCAGTACCAGTTCTTTTATGAGAAAGCATTGAAGAGGGAGGAGGAAGCGAAGGAGAGGGAGGAAGAAGATAAGGCGAAGACTCACGAACCCGTCTTCAGTACCGTGCCCGCCTTAACTGATGCTGAGGTGGAAGAGAGAACGACTTCCCTCCTAAGGGCTTCAATAGAAGTCCGGTCTGTTGAAGACCATACAGACCAACTCGCAAAGGTGTTTGATGAACTCAAGAAGTTGCGAGAGGATATGGCCTTGATGGCGCAACAGTGTCGGGCGGCTGCCTACCATCCGATAGGTTTTTTTCTTTAAAATGGCAAACATTTATTTTTTCTTTACTGTTTTTTTTCTGGGGTTTTGACAAGTGCATGCATGCGGGTATGATGTTTTGATGTCCTCGGGCTTCCGGGCCTTCGTAACTAACTCTTCGAATGTCTGGAGTGACGGTCCAGACCGGGGTCGCAAGTGGGCTAGCGCGGGTCCCCCAAAAGCGGGAGTTTCGATGTCAGGAACAAGGAGGCTGAGATTGCTGTCGGACTTTGGGTGAGCCATGGAAATTTCGGGATATGGGAGCCTATGGGGCCTCAAGGTTGACTACGAAACACGACTTTTTGGAGCCTGTGGAGGCTCGCGATGGACGAATCGTGATGAGTGGGCGGGTGCGAGCGGTGGCCATAGGCGGGTCCCCCCTGGGCGACCTGTGAGTGTCCAAGTCGTCTGTGGGGGCCGGCAACGCAAGGCCGAATGAAGGGCCGCTTTTGGGTAGGCTACGGAAGCTCCGGAAGAGGGGGCCCAAAGAGGCCGAGAATGGGCTACGAAGGGAACAATGGAAGAAGAAAGAGCAGGACAACTTAAAAAGGGAGGGAGAGTCATGGGGAGAATCGAGGAAAGTTTTTTTTTTTACCACGCCTGCTGAAACCTGAGAGGCTTCGATGGTGCGGTCACTTAGCGACGAACGACGGGAGAAGCCAGCACGTAGCCGACAGCTATGAGGTCTCGCCGGGGGAATGTGGGGATCATGTTTGATCCAGGCAGCGATACGGGAACTAATGGTGGCGCATGCGCCATGACTTGCCTGCGGAGCGTGGGTTGCCACAGACAGTCGAACTGCCGTTGGCTGAGAATCCGAACGTCGGCGTGAGCAGTCGGCTTCGCGGGTGACGGGGGAAGATCGCTTGGGTCCACCCCGGTATGATCGAGGGGAGTGCCATCGTTTTTTTTTTAAGGATCGCGCGTCTCCGCGGCCACCCGTGTGCTGGGGCTAGCCGCACGAAGCTATCCTATCTGGAACCTGTAGGGGAGAACTGGCAGCAGGGAAGGAACACGCCCACCGGTTCTTGATAACCGAACACACAGAGGGCGCGCACGTCATATGTTTCTTGACGATTGATTCGAAAAAAATTCAGTTGCGCAGTGTAGGCAGTTGGAGAGGCGGGAGACATCCGAAAAAAGCACAAACATCGAGCACTTGTGAACATGACGATTCAGTTCTTGAGCAAGATGCATCTGGACGAAAAGGGGTTGTGGGTTCGGACTGATAATCGAACGGCCAAGGACCAAGAGCGGGAGAAAGAAGACCAAGGCCATCTCTCGAGGGGAAGAGGGGTGCGACCTATGATCGATCCGGGGAGTTTAATCTTATTGGAGGAAAGGTGAGAAGACAGATGAGGGAGAAAGAAAGCGAGTGTGTAGTAGCGGGAAAGGGAAAAGGGAGCGGGAGATCGAAACTTGGTCGAAAATTTCGGCCTTGGCGCCTCTAAGGGAGGAACTAGAGGGCGGGTAGCTAAAGTCAGGGAATGAGGAAATAGGTATAAAAAGAGAGAGAGAGAGAGGAAGGAGAAGGGGGGGAGAGCACGGTATGTACGGGCTGGCGCTGAGCGCTCAGGGCACGAGCACGAGGAGAGAGCTTCAAGATTACGCACATACGCCCGTTCTGCGCACGCGGTCAGAGCAGTGGAGCGTTGCGCTCGGSCAAGACRGAGAGAGAGAGAGAGAGAGAGAGAGAGAGAGAGAGAGAGAGAGAGAGAGAGAGAGAGAGAGAGAGAGAGAGAGAGAGAGAGAAAGAAGGAGAGAGMGAGAGARAGAGAGAGAGGGAGGGAGAATGAGAGAGAGGGAGAAAGGCGACATCTAAGGGGTAGGCCACTACGGACTGCGCGCGGTCTAGAGAGCGAAAGAGGGCGAAGAGAGGAAAGGAGAAAGAAAAAGAGAGGGGAGGACGAAAGCGCGAGAGGTGAAGAGCTCCGTGCCGAAGAGGTGACACAGCCCGCGCAGAGGTGTCGGACCCTGCGGGAGAGCGAGAGTCCAGCGGGGGCATTAAAAGAGGTGTAGCTAAGGGAATCCGCACTCGGAACGACGAACAAGAGGGGGAGAGAGAGAGAGGGAGAGAGAGAGAGAGAGTGAGAGAGAAAGGGAGAAGAGAGAGAGAGAGAGAGAGAGAGAGAGAGGGAGAGAGAGAGAGAGGACGGGCGCGGTCAATACTAAGGAGGGGGCGACGGGGGTGCTTGAGTTCGGAGGCTGAACGCACGAGTAGTCTGCGCGCCCGATCACGAAGCGCATGGGGGCCGGCGACCGTCTTCACACGTGCACGCAACGACGCTCGGGGGTTTTCGGGGTTGGGGGCGCTGGTTCGCGAAGAGAAATGTGCGAGGAGCCCGGAGAAGGAGATAGAGAGAGAGAGTGAAGGGTTGCCATCTCCGGACCGTAACAGCCGCTCGGGAGGCGCGACAGAGGGAATTGGGTGGTAAGCGAGCCAGCTCGAGGAGCAAGCACGAAGCAGCGAGGTATACTTCACTCTCGCTTGGCGGAAGCTCTCGAAGGGCCATTGAGGAACGGCGCATGGGAGAAAGCTCTTAAGAACAGTCACGCGCACTCAGGTATCGGGCGAGGGAGCCTGAGCGCGAGTTCCGCGCGGTCGAGCCGCGTCGCTCGAGAGTTGGCATCCGAGCAGAGATGAAGAGGGTGCGAGAAATAGCTCAGAGGGGTGGAGGTCGGTGCTCTCGAGGGCGCTCGCTAGCCTGCCGTCGGCCAGGGAGAGAGAGAGGAAAAAAGAAAGAGGGCAAGAGAGAGAGAGAGGGAGATAGGGAGAGAAGGCCAGAGGAAGAGGGGGGGAGGAAGGAGCTGCAGGGAAACGCTCCCTTTCGAAACAGCGACGCCACCATAAAACTTTTGCTCATCGAAGTCAGGCCCCAATCGGTGTTCTTTCGAGTTTCTCTTCAGTCAGACCGTGGCAGCCGGCCCGAGAATGCCATTGAGAAATCGCGGTTGACCATAAATAGCTGGTTTCGGAGTTTTCTCTGGCTTCAAGTTTCGTGAGTCCGCTGCCTGAGATAGTCAATTCTCAATGGATGTTTTTTTTGAGTTGGTCCGAAAATGCCACAAATAGCAGGTTTCAAAGTTTTCTCTGACTTTAAGTTCCGTGAGTCCGCTGCCTGCGACAGTCAGTTCTCTATGGATGTTTTTTGAGTCGTTCCGAGCTTGCTTCGAGTATAGTGAGCTCACTGTTGGATTGCAGTTGAACCCAAGCAGCTGGTTTCGAAGTTTCTCTGGCTCCAAGTTCCGTGAGTCCCCTGCCTGTAACGGTCAGTTCTCAGTCGATGTTTTTCCTTTGAGTTTGATAGTCGGTCCGAGCTCGCGTCAAGTATAGTGAGCTCACTGTTGGAGTGCAGTCAAACCTAAGTAGTTGGTTTCGAAGTTTCTCTGGCATCGAGTTCTGTGAGATGCGCCACCAGTCAATCCCCAGTTGAGGTTTTCGAATTTCTTTCTGATTGTGGTGGTTGGCCCGAGAATTCTGATTTCCGGTTTAGTGAGATCATTGACAGTTGCAGTCAGACATGAACAGCTAGCCTCAAAGTTCTCAACCGGCCCTCGTCGACCGAGGCTGCAGGTAGAGGTTCTTTGTCTACGAGTTCTCTCCGTGGGTGTGCTTTTTGAACTAAGGTGGTCAGTCAAAAGCCTGTTATTTCCCATTCGTGGGCTCATAGCTTGTCGCGGGTCGGTCATAAACTGAGCCGACTCTGGTTTTCCAGCACTGGTCGCGAGTTAGTCCTTCGGACTAAACCCCTTGGCTGCGAGTTGTACCAAAGGGTCCGGTGCGCGTCTTGACAGGCCCATAAATTGCTGAGTTCGGGCCCCTTCCCAACCGTCAGCGGGTAAGGAGGGGGCAAAACCAGTAGGAAGGAGAAGGGGGGGGAAGAGAGAGACTGGATCGGAGGAGCCCCGAATAGAGGAAGGAAAGGGAGAAAGGGTGAGCCGGATGAAAGTGGCGCCGTTGCCGGGGATGAGCACTTCTCCCGCGGCCGCGGCCGGCTCAGTGACTACGGGGTAAGGGAGGACCGGCATGACAGGCAGTGGCAGGGCTCTTCTTCACCAGTTTCAAGCATCCGCTTCTTCAACGACCTTTCTTCGACACCAGTTCTCTCAGGCCGACGGCATCTTCTTCGACGATTTTTCGAAGCGACAGTGCTTTTTCTTTCTTCGGACCACGCGGCGGTTTCTTAGTACCAATTTCAGTCGGGCAGCAGCAAAAGGGGGACTTCAAAGGGCTTGTTTTTTTTGGAAGGGTTGTCGGGGCTGTGCAATGGACTTGGGGTGTTGGGTGTCTCCTTGGCTTTTGCAGGTCCGCTCCGGCCCGCTTGCGATCTCGGCTCCCGCTCCCGGCCTTCGAAGGGTAAACAGGTCAGTTCTTTTTTTGTGTGCCTGATTTTTGCGAGTGTTTATTTCTTAAAAAAAAATAGAAAAATATAAGGGGGTGCACAATTTGCTTGAGGGGGTTGGATGAGGGTGAAGAACAACGAAAGGGCGGGCAGAAGAACAGTCCGGGAGAATAGTGTAAGGGGGTCTGCTCGAGGGGAAGAGAGAGAGAGGGCAAGGGGGAGAGAGGAAAGAGGGGTCCGAGAGGGTCCTAGGGCGCTATCTATTTGGGACCCTCGAGGGTCGCCAAATATTCTTGATCCACACGGGTTGTGGAGGGCACCTACCCAAAGTCCTGCACGAGAGAGGGTGTCTAGAGAGGGGTTAGGGGCTTCGGTTCTCGACCCGCGAGGGCTGACGACGGTACCAACTCCCGCAAGGGAGCGGGACTCTCAAACGAGACCGGTTCGGGACTTGGGGGAGAGGAGAGTGGTGTTACAGGTACCGGGGCGAGGGAGAGAGAGAGGCACACCTACATTTGCTAGCGAGGGGGTTAGAGAAGAAGGGGGTACTTGGGGGCCCTTGGATGAGGGATCGGAGGCCGAATCCTGGGTGGACCGGTGTCTAGCCGATTTCTCGGACTCGGACCTGGGGGACTACTGGGATTATGACAACGAATATTGAAGACACAAGGTACGTATGCTTGTCAATTCGACCTGAGAGACTCTTCCTAAGGCTCCGCTTTTCCCACACCACCTTTTTTGTTTTCCCTATTTGAAATTCTTGTGATTCCAAGAGAGAAAAGAGGCAGCAGGAGGCGGAAAAGGAAGAAGGGGACGAAGTGCGAAGAGTTCACGATGAGGAGAATGGGGAGGGAGTAGATAGGCTAGTGATTTCTGATAAATAGGTGGATCTTGTCCTGGGACCCGGGTAAATCCACACTTGAGGTGGGCCGAGTAGAGGCGTGGTACTGGATAGGCTAACTTAGGACTAGAGGTCGGTTCAGTGGGGGACATAGGACCCGGGTGTGTGACTTCGGTCCGACTCCGGGGAAGGGGTTGCTACCCTTCCTCGGGGATAACCTGTGTCCGCGGCTAGTCTCTAGGCTGGGAGTGGGGAGGAGTCTCTCAGCGGGGGAGGACAGGAAGGTAGCCGAGTGAGACGGCGTTCCTTCTCTGGTCCATTTGATCCTTCTGAGCTCACAAACTTCTCCTCCTTGCGGGATAGAGGTGGTTTCTCGAGTGGCCAAAAGGAAACACGAACTTGGAGAATCTTCCTTCGATTATATTGCATGAGCTTAGAAGCCGTTCCGGAGTGGATTAGCGTGTGTACGTACGGAAGTGTTGACGTGTAGTGTTACTCTTTTCGGCTATGGACATGTGACTTTGATGTGGGTGTCTATGTAGAGGAGGGACAAGATCAAGGAAAGGACTTTCTTCGTGGGTGGGACAAGGCGATAAGCCACTCCCGCGGTTCGCGGGAGGAATTGAGGGGTTATGGGTACAAGTATTTTTACTCTCTAGGATACCGAACCTACCCCAGAGGTGGTCGCCCGACGCCTGTGATTCCGGACGCTTATCTCGATGGGTCGGATGAATGGAAAGTGCTAGTAGGGATTGTGGAGAGAGTGGTGAGAGCAGCGAATCCATGAGCTTGAGGCCTTTGGAGTTTGAACCTGCAGGAATTAGTGTAGGTGATCAAGGCGGGGTAGACGTGTGGTGCTATACCTTTTACTGGTGGACCGGCCACTTCGACATCGCCTTGTACGTAGAAGAGGGTGTTGATAGAGAGACAGGATATTTGGATAGCTGGGAGGAAGCGGTCGGTCACGCACAACTCGAGAGACAACTGCTGGGGGCTTACGAGATTAACTACTTCTACTCGTTGGGGTGTAGGACGTATTCACGAGGGGGTAGGCCTGTTCCCACTATTCCGGACGCCTTCCTAGACGGGTCGGACGAGTGGAGAGCGCTAGTTCAACTCATAGAGGAGATAGTCCAAGGGGATGGTTAGGATCATAGAGGGTACTGAGGAAGAAGGGGTTCGGATAGAGAAAGCAGATTTAAGCAAAGACAGGGAGTGCTTTAGCGTCCCTTTAGACCATCGCACCGAGAGGTATCTAAGCGGTTGTGAGAGGGGGTTAGAGCCAGAACAAGGGGTTTTTCTTTGGGCTCGTTTCGCAGTAGGAACCTGAGAAGGGGATAGGTGGTCCCGGAATAGGCCCCAGAACGGGAAGAGGCCCAAGCGAACGAGGATCCGTGCTGAAGGAACTGTCTATTTGAGTAAGGAGGCCTGTGTCGATTACGTCACTCACTTGGTCCTGGGTTGGTACCGCGCGGATCATTGGGAGGCACGAGCGGGTCCGCTTTTGAGGCGGATTTTTTAGGCAGAGCCCCTTAGACACTGCCCACCCGTTGAGGTAAGGGTGACCTGCGCGCGAGACGAGGAGTACCCCCGCGCCACAAGGTGCGTCAGAGCCATATTCCCGTTGTTCGTTTTTAGAAGGGTGAGCAGGAAGAAGGAGCGATACGAGAGGGTTGTGCGGTCCATAGTGCGAGAGAGGGTGTGGCAGCTCTCCGTTAGGTCGCTCCATTGGTACTACACTTATTGGGTGGATAACCCTGTACCTTACGGGATCAAGGCCTGTAGGATTCGCGCAGGGATCTTTAGGGAATCGACTCAGGATCGCGAGGGCGGGCGAGATTACGGTTACCAAAGGGTCTTCGGAGTGCCTCAGCGGGTGCTTTAAATGAATGGTGTTCCACGACAGGGGACAGGGACGGTTTGTCGAGTCCCCTTTGGAAGGCAGTGAGACTCTTAGATTAATCCCTAGCAATAGAAAGGTTCCCAATTGGAAAAGGGTAGAAGGAGGCAAGGCTACCCTGAGCGGGCAGTTCCTGTGGGTAGAGTCCGAGGAAATTGAGGACCGAGGGGTTGAGAGGTGTCTCAAGGTGACTGTGGTTATCTTTGTGGCCCCCGAGACTTGGGCGAAGATCATAGTGCCCTTGGTCCTGGGACAAGGGGTGGGTTGGATAGGTTGCTGAAGGAAGCGAGAGAAGTAAGAGGGGAATGGGTAAGTACGGTCCGAGAGAGATTTGCCTTTACGGCTATCGAGAGGGAGATGTTTGCAGGAGAGAAAGAGCTTCCAAGGGCATGCTATCCATTAACTGAGAGCGTGCCGTCTTTCCTGTTTCGAGGGACTGACGAAGGAAAGATAGTAAGGCTTCTGGAGAGGCGAAGGGGTCTGGGATTACCCTTCGGGGCCCTGTGGACACTGTATACGCACTGCATCGATCGGGGTGTCCCTCCATGCAGAAAGCTTTGGGGCGTTTTTTGGAGATTGGGGTCTCTAGAAAACCATTCACTCTCTCACCAGAAAGATACCATCAGTGGGTTTTCAAAACAGCATAGGTAGATGGTGAGATTCGTACTCAATGAGAACGGAGCGGTGGAGTCGATAGAAGCTAGTGACGCTGGTAAGGTCTTGATTCCGGGGGACCCTCAAGTAACGCCTTATTGGATGCGCGTTGAGAAAGGGGGATTAATCAGGGAAGGGGCCTACGTGTGGGTTCGAGCTCGAAGGCTCACTTGGAAGGAAGGTGTGGAAAGGGGAGGCCCACCCGACCTCGGTCGTTTCCTGGAGATTCGGGCTACCATTTTTTTCAACGAAGAGGTGTGGACCGAAGTCTGGAGAGGCTTGGTAACCGGGCGACTAACGCATTTTCAATACCGAGAATCCGCGAGGCTGTTGGCAAACAACCTGGTGTTAGCTGACTACGAGGAGGGAACTTTCGAGTCGTGGTCACTAGTGTCCTTCACCGAGCCCGGAGAGGTCCCTCGCACGTCCAAGGTCCTTCACGCTAACCTACCCCAGTGCGTGGCCAGTTCGTTCCTAAGAGACCCGGAGGAGAAGGTAGTAGCAGTGCTTAGAGCGGCTCGAGAATCCGGGGTGCGGGCTAGGGGTTTGTTCTGGCTTTATACTCGGTGCGTGGACGCGGGAGTTCCCCAAAGGAGTGAGCTGCCTGCCATATTCAGGAGGTTGAGAGAGTTTGAGGGACTCCGATCCCTTGTCAAGGACATTCCGTACGACCGCCTCTTCGGAGAAGAGAAGGTGTCTAACTGGCGGGGTTTCGAGGGTCGATGATAAGGGGGATCCCGAGAACTCTCTGGGCATCTATAGAGCCCGTAGAGGATACCAGGGAGGTTGTCAATGTCACTCTGCCTAGGGCCAGATTAACTGAGCCAAATAGGACTCTCCTGCAAGAAGAAGGGGAGATCCGGCGCGGTAAGGCTTTCATACGATTTGTGGTGAGTCGCGAGGGGAGGGTCGTAGTTGGAGAAGCCCGAATATTCCTTTCGAAGGAAGGCCTTGTTGAGATAGCGCGTAGCTTACGGATTAGGCAGGACCCTCTATGGGACGCTCGAGCCGTGAGAGGCCGGTTAGGAGAGTTAGTAGAGGAATTAAGGCCTCACGAAGGGTGCGACGAGGAGTATCTAGTGACCTACGGGGGTTGGGAAGAAATACTGCGGTTCCTCTCCAGTGAGCCGGTGGAGGTCCCCCGTTTCATTTCTGAGCGGGTTTACCCCTCCGAGGCTGCTAAGAGGGCGGTAGAAAGAAGGGTTTCCATCCTAAGTCAGTTCAGGTTCACGGGATCGGACCTCCATACCTTGTTAACTTGGTGTTTTCGGGATCCCTATAGAGACGATTGGTCGACTCTAGAAGACCTGGGTTACGCCTTTGAAGGGTGGGGTCGACACACAAGGGAGTCTAAGATATCGTGGAGATACTTAGGTAAGATCTGCGAGGAAGAGCTAGCGGGGTTGGACCCCTCAGATTTGATTCAGATAGCAATTGCGTGTCGTCGACGAAAGTTAGGGGATGAGCGAGTCGGACCTTGAGGGGCTTGTGGGGTTGGATAGAGTAAGGGAAGAGGTTCACCGGATCCTCGCTCTGTGCTGGGAGGAAGAAAGGAGGGCTAGGCCTGGGTCCTTACCTAGAATCAAGCTACTAGAGACGACGACAATCGCTATCCTCGACGACGTCATGATAGATCTGCTCGCGCGGTGAGGGGATGAGAGCCTCGTTCGTCTCCAATAGGATTCGTTGGGAATTGGAGACCTACGAGGACGATAGCGAGGTTAAGGTCGAGGGGAGTGCGGAGCTTAACCCGGAATTGGGAGAGGACTAAGTGGTCTGCGCCGAGACGGAATTTCTAGTGGAGGTTCGACGGCTGGCCTTGTGGAAAAGAAAGAGCTGGACCACGCTAGCTAGCTTCTCGGTCCTCATTAGAGACTCCAGTGGGGTAAGGTCCTCAAGGGCTTGGAGAGAACCCTTGTTGGAAGTGGAAAGAAGATTCGAAGAAGACTCGAGGTATCTAGGGACCCCGTTAACATCAAGGACGCACCTTGTGGAGACTAGATTTTGGCATAGGACGGGAGAGTACGAGGAGGCTTTGCGCCAAACTCTGCGAGAGGGCGGAGAGGCCGGTCGCGCTAGGTGCGAGGACTCACTAGTCGAGGCTGCCGCAAGGTTGGCCGACATGAGGTGAGACCCCAGATGATTCGATACGAGAGGGGGGACCCCGTTGGTACCATAGAAAGGGCTTGGACGTGGGGAGGAAGATATGGAGTGACTCTCCCGAGAGTTAGAGGGGAAGGAGAGGTGACTACCGAGTTCTTCGAAATTTACGAGCAGGAGACAGTGGTCAGGTTCTCAGTGGCGTCCGAGGGGAACAGTTGCACTAGAAAGGCGGAAATCTTTATGTCCCCTGACGCCCAACTAATCTTCGCAACTGAATTAGTGGAAGGCAAAGATCCTCTAGGCATCGCCAAAAGGGCCCTAGAACGATTGAGGAGATTGAGAGGGGGTGGCACCGGGGGCCCCATGATTGATGGGGTAGAATACCGAGGGAGGACGGAAGTTCTAAGGGTAGCCCACGAGAGAACTTGGAATATCCCTACCTGGGCCTATCGGCTACTTTATGCTGACGACGAGACCGTGAGGAGAGTCCAATTGAGGGGTCAGGTGATAGAAAAATTCCCACTGGGTGAAGAAGGAGGGCACGAGTTATTCACCCAGTGCTGGGAGTCGAGAGAGGATACCGACTTCGAGTGGTGGGCGTGCGTTGGAGAGTTCATCAAGCCCCTGTTCTCCGGACAGCCAGGTGATGTGGACAGGGACTTGATTAGGAGATGTGCGCAAGAAAGGGATTAGGGGCATCCCGGACCTGGATATCGCAAATCTTGCGTTGGCCGCTAGTGAGGAAAAAAAATTGAGGGACTCTTGGTGGACTGTGACCAGCGAGGAGTTGGAGGGAGAGGGTGCTGACGAGGATTCTAGTGAAGAGAAGGGGGGATCGGGGGAAGAAGAGGACTCGGAAGATAGCCCAGACAATAGTGATGGACGAGCCGGAAGATAACGCAGACGATAGTGAGGAAGGTGACTAGAAATAGCCAATAAGCGTGCATGGAGAGTGAAGTAGAGGCTGGTCTCTCTAGTCCGCCGGAAACCGCTGAAAGAAGGGAGGTAGTGAAGAGTCTCGAGTTGGGAGCTAGTCTAAGTAGGGTGGTGGAAGAAATGATAGAGGGCACGAAGAAGCTAGGAGTGGCAAGGGGTCCGAAAATGGCTTCTGGAGAAAGACAGGCCTCGGAGGGGCAAAGAGCTGGCGCGGAAGTACGAGTGCACAGGGATGTGGGGCCGCGGGTGCCGGTGAACGAAGGGGTCACCGAAGACGCAAGAGGCGTTCCGGTGGAATCCCGGTGGGCGGACCTGATGGACGCGGAGGCAAGGATGGGAGAAGCTCAGGGATTTTCTAGAGATAGGCAGGGGTATCGAGCACTTACGGGGGAGGAAGAAGAGTGTCAAGACAGGAGGGACTTAAGAGAAGGGAGGTCAGCAGAAGCCGGCGGTAGGCCACAAAGATGGGTCGAGAGGATACCGGAGGTCGTCACAGGTGAGAGGCAGGCTTTAGTAGGGCAAAGAACTGGCGCGGAAATGCGAATGCCTGCGAGAGAAGGGTCGGTTGAGGGTTCAAGGGGCTACCTATAGAGTCTCGGTGGACGGATTTACCGGACGCGAGAATGGGAGAGGCTCTAGAGTTTCCAAAAGATAGGGTGGGGTACCGGCCACCCAGGAGAGAAGAGGAGGGGGGACCAAGTAGAAGGGACCTCAGAGACGAGAGGCCAGTAGAGGCTGGTAGTAGGCCACGAAGGTGGGCCGAGAAAGAATCGGATGTTGCATGGGCTGCCGGCGAGATAACGGGCAGGAGTCAGGGGGTGGAGGCCTGGAGAAGCTTTAGGGGGTAGGACCACGCTCGGTGGGAGACGGATTGGCCCAATGAGCGAGGCGGCTACGGGGAAGACCCCTGGGGACCGTCAAGACCCCGGGCTCAGATAGAGGAGCCGGATCCCTCGTGGTACAAGCCGTACGACCCGGCAATCGATGGGCCAATGGAAGGACCCTATTTTTGCCGATACGACGAGCGACGAGTCCCCTACTACGACGTCAACCTGGGTCTGGAGGCACTCTTTTTGGACGGGCGTGACATAATGGGATTCAAAGAGAAATGGGAAAGTTATGCTTACCGGAAGAGATTCTTCGAAAGGGAGTGGATCGACTATTTCATCCAACACTCGGACCCTGAGTTAGACCCCGAGATTCGGGCCATCTACCCCGCAGACGGACGGTGGAGAACCTTCAGGGTGAGTCTATTGCAGACTTTCGCCTGTGATGATCTAATCCCTACTGTGGAGGGTTTGCGGCGAATTACAAGAGGAGAACGGGAGAGTTTGGTGGCCTTCACCCGTAGGTTCAAGCGCTTGTCCCAAGCCCTAGTGGATAGGGGGATGCTGTCTGAAGTGGATAGGTGTGTGATGTTCATGCTGCACCTACCCGAGTTAGACCCTGCGATTCGGGCTATCTACCCCGCAGACAGACAGTGGAGGACCTTCAGGGCGAGTCTATTGCAGACTTTCGCCTGTGATGATCTAATCCCTACCGTGGAGGGTTTGCGGCGAATTAGAAGAGGAGAACGGGAGAGTTTGGTGGCCTTCACCCGTAGGTTCAAGCGCCTGTTCCAAGCCCTAGTGGATAGGGGGATGCTGTCTGAAGTGGATGGGTGTGTGATGTTCATGTTGCACCTACCCGAGGAAAAGAGGAAGGAGGTCCTAGAAAAGGCCCCGAGAGATTCTGCCAAATTTGAGAAAGTCGCCGAGGTAGTTTTCACAGCGGGGAGGAGTGGATGTGAGGGAGTACATGAAAGAGACCCTGGACATGGCACTCCGCAACCTGCGAGGCATGCGGAACGAAGGCCCAAGAGGGAGCGATAAACCGCCCCTAGGTCGACCTGGTTCCCGGTGGGGAGAACGGCCGACCTGATGGAGAAACGAATCGAGTGGCCAAGGAGGTTGGAGGAACGACCGGGAGATAGGGGGGAATCGTGGTTCCGATTGGGGAATTTCCCATTGGAAGGATGCTAGGGATGGAAGGTGGGGAGACACCCCTCAAGCAAGGACTTCTGGGCCCCGGCCTGAGGTTAGGGCGCCACCGCCACCGGCTCCTCCTGCGCCTACAGCTGCGACAACTCAAGGGGGTTCGCGTCTCAACAACCCGCAGGCTCGAAGCGGGTGTGTCTACTGCAATGAAGAAAAACACATCAAAAGGGACTGCCCTTATCTCACGGAGGCCTTAAGGTTGGGGGTGGTCAAGCTGAATGAGCACAAGTGGGTTGTGTGGGGAGATACCGGAGAGGCGGTCTCCTTTTACCCATCAATGAAGGTGAACGTGGACAAAAGGATGGCCTTCCAGGAGGCTAGGTTGGGGAAGAAACCTGCAATCGGGAGCTCCTCCAACACAGTTCATATCCAAATGACGGAGTCACCGGGGGGGGTGTCCATTAGGGAACCCCAGGTGTCAAGCATCAAGTTCATAGAGACCAACCCCGAGGAAGAGAGGCCTTGCCTAGGGGTGAGAACGCAGGTTGGGACCGAGACGTCAGAAAGCCAAGGGAGCGTGACGGAGGGTACGGAAGTAAGGAGCGGCGACAATGACCAACCAATGGCCGATGCAAAAGCGGTGGAGGAAAAGAAGGAAGAGCCCACCTCACCCAAATCGCCTAAGAAAAGGGGTCCCAAAAAGTTCCAATTGAAGTGCACTCTGAATGAGATAGACACGGTAGCCCCCCTTAGGAGAACCCTGATGCAGCCTATGCAGTGCACACTTTTGGAATATCTAGCTGCCAGCAAAAGCGCCAGGGAAGAGCTCCTAAGCATCACGAGGAAGGTAAGAGTCCCGCTCGCCAGGGGGCCCACGGTGCCGGTAGAAGGTCCAGCCAAGGAAGAAGTACAGGCCTCCCGCATTACCATAGAGGAACTACCTGCCAACTTCTTCTCGGGAGAAGAGGCCAAGAAATTTTATGTGGTAGGTAGCAGCCAGCTTCAGGCAGTGGTAAGTGGGAAGAAGATGAGGGCTCTAGTAGACAACGGGTCCGAGTCTACGGTTTGTAGGGACTCCATCGTGAGGGAGCTGGGCTTGGAGATAGATCGAGGGGTATCAATGTCAATGGTAGTGGCCGATAACAAGCTGCAACCGGTGGAAGGGGTGTGTCATAGCCCCGTGATTGAGGTTGCTGGCGTAGAGGCCACGGTTCCAATCTTTTCGGTAAAAGAGTGCTCCTCCGAGTTGATCCTCGGAAGGACCTGGCTGAGCGCGGTTCACGCTACCACGGTTGATTTGTCGGATGGAAGTCGGACCCTCTCGATCCAAAGTCCGGATGGAATCCGAGTGGTCCTGAAGACCGTAGACGCGCAAGATGAGCGTAACCAGACCAGGATTGCTAGACGCAAGGGGAGCCTGTCGAGGGTGTGTCGAGTCCGTCTGGAGGAGGTGCCCTTGACGGATAGGGGACCCAAGGGAGACCAATTGGAGGTCGTGGATGTAGGGGATAAGATTGTGATTAACGGTATGGGGTAAGAGAAGGAGGACGAGGAGGAGGAATTTGGTGAATGCGTGAGTATGTCTTTTTTAGAGGTATCCCCCTAGCCGGTGGAGTTAAGAAGCACAAAACCGTGGCGGAGAAAGTAAAACCCGCCGCGGTCAGCCGGGATAGAACGGGGGAAGCTACAATATCGGAGGAGGAGATAGTTGATATCATCCGGAAAAGGAAAGAGATTGAAGGGCAAAGGATAACGACCGATAGGTTGGCCAAGATGGATATAGGGGACGGGAATCTCACGGAGGAGGAGAAGGGATTCATAGCCATGACCTTAAGGGGCTGCGATAAGGCCATTGCCTTTGATGACTCAAAGAGAGGAAGGATCGACCCGAGGTACGCTAAGCCGACCCGGATCCATACGGTCCCACACATGCCTTGGAAGGATAGGCCCCAGTGGAAGTACGCTCAAAAGGAGAAGGAGGAGATAATAGCTTTTATCAAGGAGAAGATCAGAACATTCGTCGCGGAGCCTTGTGAGAGTGCTTACTCCAATAAGTGGTTCTTTCTGAGAAAAGGGGGTAACAACAAACTAAGGTGGATACAAAACCTCCAAGGGACCAACTCGGTCACTATAAGGGACGTGGAGTCGATACCGGAGGCAGACCTACTCGCGAAAGGATCGGCAGGTCGTTCGATATACTCGATATGTGATCTCTTCTTGGGGTATGATGGGATCCCCTTAGACTATCGCGATAGGCATATGACCACCATGCATACGCCTCTAAGGCTGGTCAAAATGATGGTGGTGCCCATGGGGTGGACTAACGGGGTGGCAGTGTTCCAAAGGGCCATGATAGCAGTCCTCAAGGAGTTCATACCTAAAAAGGTGGAAGTCTTCCTAGATGACTTTCCGATAAAAAGGTCGGTCGAACGGGATGAGACGGAGGTTTTGCCCGGGGTAAGAAAGTTCGTGGTAGACCACATGAGCGATGTCAGGGATGTCCTTGTGAAATTGGACGATGCTAACCTCACGGTGAGCGGAACCAAGAGTCGCGGGGCGTATCGTCCATTAAGATACTAGGTTCATCTGCGACAAAGATGGGCGGAGGCCCGATCCTGAGAAATTGGTGAAATTAATGACATGGTCGTCGCCACTCAAGTCCATTACAGAAGTCCGGCAGTTTCTAGGGGTGGTGGGCTACTGGAGAATCTTCATAAAAGGCTACGGTGAGAAAGTGAAACCACTTAGGCGGTTGCTCAGAAAGACGGAAGGATGGGCTTGGGGGGAGGAGCAGACGGCAGCCATGGAGGCCTTAAAAGAGGAGTTCCGCGAAGGGGGGCAGGTCTTAGGGGTTCCATTCTTTAAAGACGAAGAGAGTCGCCCATTTATAGTTTCCATGGACGCAGGGCCTAACTCGGTAGGGGGCCTCCTGTCTCAAAAGGACGGGGAGGGGAGAGAGAGACCTTTGCGATTCGAGAGTAGGACCTTGAACCCCGCCGAGAGGAATTATAGTCAAATTAAAAAGGAGGTGCTAGGGGTGCTACATTGCCTAAAGGCTTTTCGCCATTATCTGTACAGGCGACGATTTCTCCTAAGAGTGGACCCAACTGCAGTAGCAGCGGACCTTCAAAAGGATTTCTCACTGACCGATCCGACCATCGCCCGATGGATGATACACATTAGGCTTTACGACTATAGGGTCGAGAGGATATCGGGGACCAAGAACCAGGTCGCAGACGGGTTGTCCCAGCTTCCCATTCGTGAGGAGGACCTACCTAGGCTCAAGGAGGAAGCAGTGACGATGGCTGAAAAGGAGGTAATGGAAGTCGCTGCTAATAAAGCACAAATAGCGGGGAGCAGCTGGGAAGAGATAGGGGCCCCAAGGACTTTTTTCGCAAATCTCTACAAGGGGAAGTACCGAGACATGAGACTGTACTTAGCCGGTAGGGAAACAGGGACCGAAAGAATCCGACAAAAGGCGCTGGGGTATTGTCTACGAGGAGGCCATCTCTTCAAGAGGCCCACAAAGTTTGCGATACCCATGAGGGTGTTGTGCGATCCGGAAGAGAGAAGGGCGCTCATTGAGGAACTCCACGACGGGGTCGTTGGGGGCCATAGGGGAGTAAAGGGTACTTTCGATAAGGTCCGTAGGCTTTATTGGTGGGACGGGCAGTATACGAAAGTCGAAAAGTACTGTTCAACCTGTGAGGCTTGCCAAAAGAGGACAACGGTCCGATACAAAGAGCCCTTAGTCCCTTCGCTTCCCACGGTCCTGGGTGAAAAGATCCATGTAGACTTAGTCACCATGCCAAAAGCGGTCGGCGGACTTTGATATATAATCAACGCCCGTGATGACCTCACCGGATTCGTACAAGCGAGGGCCATTAAGAAGAAGACGGTGGAAGAAATAAGTGATTTTCTCCTTGAATATATCGTGCGGTACGGGTGTGTCGGGAAAATAGTCATGGATAGGGGAGCCGAATTCTTGAGCCAGAAGGTCAAAGGATTATTGGAGAAGGTCGGGATCCGGGCGGCCTATACAACCGCTTATCACCCCCAAAGTAATGCACTAGAGAAACAACCGAGGCAGGTGCTAGGGGTGCTAGTAAGAGCAGACACCACTAGCACTCTGCTGTTGTGGGTACCCAAAGCACCCGGGCACCATCTTTTTTTTTTTAAGAAACAACCTGGGCAGGTGCTTGGGTCTAAGGGTCGTAACAGGGGCTAAAAGCCACACCCAAGTCATAGGAAATTCCCTGATATGAGGCCTGCTGCTGTGGATACCCAAAGCACAGCCTAAACGGGGGTCTCATAGGCCCTGCGTGCGACAGTTGACCGTGGAAAGTCAAAGGTCAACAGCAGCTCGGAAATTCAGGCTCACGAGTCAAAGTCTGCACGGTCCCAGTCCAGGCCACAGACCAGACACACACATTGGCTGTTCGCAGGTATCCGCCAAGAATCCAGTCCAAGTGGGAATCTGCAACTGAAAAGATCCAGGCCATTGCCCCTGCGTCCATCTGGGTAGTCGTATTCGAGAGACCAGAGGCTGGTCAACCGCGAGTCAACTGTAAGTTGACCCAGCCCCTGCTGACCGAAATTCATTCACTCTTGCACTTGCTGCTCGACACTGGGTGGACGCTAGCTCTACGCTGGCACTACGCTGGCTCGTCGCTGGCTCTGTGCTGGCTTGACATTGGACGACGATGTGAGACTGCCTGGCGTTTACTTGACGCTGGCGCCATCTCTGTTTTGGCGCCAGCTGGATTCGAGATTATGCTGACGTGGCGCTGGCCACACTGTCTGCTACCGAGACTATGCTGATGTGGCATAGACCATACTGTCTGCAGCATTGATTGGGGGTTGGCGACAAGGAGGAGGATCAGGGCTGTGAGATTGGTTGATCAAAGGGAAGCTTACCTGTTTGATGACGTGTCCATATTGTGTGCCACTGATCGTCTTCGCGAGGTATCTGCGTTGACAAACGCTACATGAGATTGGCTCTGTGTCAGCTTGTGTGAGAGGGTCTGTTTGCTGATGTGGCGAGGGGAGCTGCCTGGCGTCAAAGAGGGGAACTGAGGGAGCTCTATCTGCTACGCTGATGGTGACTTTCCCTTCCACCCTCTCAGTTTCATCTCTCCCCCATCTTCTTCTTCTCTTGTCACAAGACATCGGGCTACTTGATGATGTATAGGATTATTTGGAGACATTGAGACTGCACTAAGAAATTCTGTATTTTGACACTGACGAGCTTCTCCTGACTGGGTTCATAGCATACGTCCCAATTTTAACGAATGTATTGAGACTGCGCTGAGAAATTGTGTATTTTGATACTGACGAGCTTCTCCTGACTGGGTTCATTGCATACGTCCCAGTTTTAACGAATGTCTCATCAAGGTCATGGTTGCATTACATATCCAAACGAATTCAAAAGACCCAATCGCCCAACATAAAAAGAAAGGAATCACTCATCATAATGAATGACTGTTTTTTTTTGTTTGTTTTCTTTTGTTTTGTTTTTTTAATAAAATGCGGGGGGTTGCCCTTCGGCATAAGGCCGTACAGCAGGTGCGTGCCCACCCTAAGTGAAGGTGGGCCCCTTGAATCTCAATGGGCCCTGAATTCATCAATTTTTGCAAATGTTGGTGGGCGTCAGACAGTTGCCACGTGCAAGTTGGTTACATCCGCTTTGCTTGTGAGAATCGAAAATATGCGCGAGCCTTCCAGGCTCTTCCAGCAATGTGGTCGAAGCAAGGAACACCGTACGTTTGTCCCTGGGTGGTCGGGCATGCCTAACCAATTCGGTCCCAGGCCACTGTCTGAATAGGCCTGGGCGCAGACACTTTGGCCCAACCTGAAACTACACGGTACACGCAAGGCAGGCCAGGCAGCCAACCAGTCAGGCCACTTTGCATAAAGCAAAGCGCCTGGCCGAGGTGAATTCATTCGGCCACATGTGCAACGCGGCAGTGCTGCTTGAGCATGTGCTCACGGCCAAGGCTATGCGCTAGCGCAGGGTGCTGGGAGGTGCGTGCGTGCAGTGCATGTGAACAGGGCGCCACTGAGGGCAGCGCCATAGCCCAGCCAGCGTAGCCAGGCTTGGGCTTGGACAGCCAGCGAGAGGTGGTGGTGGTCTTCGTGCATAAGAAAGCCCTAGACATAAAGGCTAAGCTTGGGAGTGCCCAGCAGGAACCAGTAGATGGGAGGAAGAAGAAGCTTCCTAAAGATTAGAGGAAGAAAGGCAATCTCATGTTTGTTGACCACGATGGTCAAGCAACAGAGATTGATGACTTCTCTGATCTTGGGGAAGAGACTGAGATAGATGGGAGTGGGGAAGCTTCAAATGGTTGAGTAGCCGCGCCCATTAGGTAAAAGGCTAAAGGGGCCCGGAAACAGAAGGTAGGTCGGCCCAAGGGTCAAATGACCAAGGACCACCCGTATGGGTGAAGCTTGGTCTGGAGTACAAGGTGTGGCGAGATCATGTTGCACGAGGTGCTTGTCTCAATTGTGGCCAGTATGGGCACACAATGCCCAAGTGCAAGAGTAAGCGGGTAGGTGGGAAGGTTGCGTCCTCAATAGTGACAGTTGGATATTCCAACTCTGGTGGTTCTTCTGCGAGCACTTCGCAGGGAAACACCTCGGGCCAGTAGGAGTGTTAGCCGCTCTTACTCGTGATGAAGTGGTAACTTAAGCTTCTCCATTTCAAACAAACTATTGACCCATGATCGCCCTGCAGATTCAGACCAATCGATGCTTTGTTCGATGGATGTGTCTGAGTCCTAAGAGGAGTTAGAAACAAAGTGGTTAGAGAAAGACCCTAGAGACTACCGGGCGATGTTGAACAAAGGTCCAAAGGGTGAACATTTCATGGTAGAAGTCGATGTAGGTGGCTGAAAGTTTGGTGCCTTCAGACATAGGTTCTACGCGGAATTTCATCAGTTGTGCTTGTGTGGATAGGCTGCGCTTAGGGGACCAAGTGGAACGGCTTAGCAAACCTGTAACATTTACCTTAGCCGACAAACACTCCATGATACTTAAGGACTATGTCAAGGACATAGCCTGTACCTTCTCCTGTGGAGGAGAGGAACTGAGACACAAAATCTCTTTCCTAGTGAGCGAAGAGCTGCATTTTGATATGTTGCTAGGCATGAACTACCTCGAGGTTGCTAAGCCTCAATTCGATTGGGATAGGAAGGTGATGATCCACAAGTTGCCAGACAGAAGGACCGTTAAGCTGCAAAAGTTTAAAGCTATCAGGCTAGTGGAGAACTATGGTAGCATATGCACGTCGTCTTTCTATCCCTATACTCTTTAAGACTACAATGGTCCCATCGTAACGGTCGGACGCGGGCCCAACAAAAATCAACGCAGGGTCACGCTGTCCCGACAGGGGACCGGAAACAGGGACAGGCTGGGATAGAGGGGGTCCGGAAGGGCACGAGCGAGGCGGGGGCCACGGTTGGCGAGGCAGGGAAAGGGCGAGGAGGGCGAAAATATCTTCGCGCTGCACGACAAGAGGCCACAAATTTGCAGGTGGCGCATCGTGTGGGGACCAAAAGAATTAGTGCAGGGTAAATTTGGAGAGAGCGCGTCGGTGCTGCGGAGAATTTGCATGGGGCGGGGGGAGGCCAAAAAGAATTTGTGCGCGGTGCCAATCGGGCGAGGCTGGGAAAGGGCGGGGCGAGGCTGGGAAACACAGGGCGCATCGGTGCTTTGGGGGAGGGAGAGACATGCAGGCAATCGAGACGCGGAGCGAGAACAGTGAGGGGAGCAAAACCGTGAAAGCAGTCGTCGGATCGTGGCGTCGGGAACAACAACGGTGACGGATCGTGGCGTCAGGAACGACAACAGTGACATCGCACGTTCAGGGAGACATGGCAAACGAAGGAGAAGAGATCGGGTGGCAACAATGGGCGTGCAGAAAATCGAGAGATCACAACGTGGGGCGCAAAAACGATGAGATCACATGTGCTGACAGACGTGGCAAATGAGGGAGAAGAGATCGCGTGGTGGGCATGAGCAGGATCGTGTGGGAACAGGGCAGCAGGACACTGAGATCATCACACGGAGGCGAGCCAAAGGGAACGTGAGACAATGACCATGGCGATGGCGGAAAGAGGTACGTTTGTGTTTCTTTCTGTCTCTCTCTTTCATGCATCGAGACATGTTGAATAGATACTCTCTCTCTCTCTCTCTAACTCCACTACCCTCCTCGGCGCTGGACTCCTCCAGCGTTGTGCCTCATGGCCGATGAGCAACGCAGCTGCAGTCTCGAAATAGCGCAGCAGGGAGTCTCCAAAATGGCGCAGCAGCCAAGTTCCTGAACCAACATAACGCTGGATTTCTCCTGGTACCTTCTATGTCCGAACTGGGCAATGGCCCAGCTTAAGTAGTGCTGGGCCAAGACTGAAAACCCACGGCCTGCGTTCCGGACCGTGCAGATCGAAACTCCGATCCACGGTCCAGATCGCAGGCTTCGAAAACTGGTTCAGTCCTTGGCTTAAAACGGCCTGCCTGGGTCCCTACCGGACGTCCAGGCCATGTCCAGGATTAATCTTCCTGGTACCTTGCTTCAAACCGGTCCTGTGCGGACGTACCCGGCCTCAACGTCGGCCTGGGTTCGAACAGGTCAAAATCTGTTCAAAAACAAAAGAAAAGGTCCAAACGTTTTTAGGAGCTCAGCCTCTGGGCCTGAATCTGGCCCTGGCYCTAGAAGCGTGTACCTGGCCACAAAACGGACAACAGTACACCCGTTAGAAAAACAGCAGCAAATAAATAAAATAAAGACTATAAAAATCATCTAAAGTTGGTGTTTTTTTTATGCAGGCCCAAGTAAAAATGCCATAGGGCCTTCAGGTTGTGGTGACGCGACCTGGGGGCCCTATTCCAACCTCGGGTCCCCTGAGGGGCCCGTGTGTAGGCTTTCAGCATGTAACACGCCCCCCTCCTTATGAAGTCGAGCCGGGGCGCGGGCGAAGCTGCCAATCCGATGGCGGAATGTAGCGAGGATGGCGAGGAGCAGGAGTGCTCTGTTTAGTCTTCCCTTTGCTAATATAGCGTGAGAGAATGGCGGGGGATGTGGCTTGCAGTTCCGAACGCGTCAGCCAACGGTCAGCCTTGTGGCTGCAGTAGGAAAAGTGAAGTAGAAACTTTGTTTCTTTGTTGCCATGGTGCCGGTCGGTGATAATGTAGCCGGCCTCCTGAAATCCGTCCATGGAAGGAGGGTCTTGCGTACGTCGACGGGGAAACTCGTCGGACTCCGCTGAAACAAAAGGAGCGAGTTTGGAACAGTGGAACACCGTGTGGACGGGCAAGTGAGGTGGCACCGCGATGCGGAATGAGGGCCCCTCGACATCATCACCAGCTGCAGAGAGAATGCGCCAAGGCCCCATCCATTTGGGAAGGAGCTTGCGAGAGATGTTTTGCTCAAGGCTGAACTCCGCTGCGAAGACCCAAACCAGATCGCCGGCGCGGAACGGGCAAGGAAGGCGATTGCGGTTGGCTTGACGGCTCATCCGTATTTGCGTCTTCAACATCTGATCCCGTGCCTTGACAAGAAGCTTTTGCATGCGACGAAGGAACGCAAGATGGTCGTCGCTCTCGGCTGTGCGCGGCAAAGTAGCGTCCAGCGACGATGAGATGGGTGAACCATGCTTGAACTCGAACGACGACATCTTGATAGTCGGGTGGATCGATGAGTTGTAAGCCAACTCAACGACTGGCAAGCGCTCAACCCAATCAACCTGGTCGGGACGGATGAGAGTGCGGAGAAGGACTTGAGAGGTCTGATGCGCCCTTTCCGTTTGACCATCGGTTTGCGGGTGGCGAGCCGAACTCGGCTTCAAAGATGAGCCCCATCGCTTGACGAGGGCGACCCAAAAGTCGGAGAGAAAGCGAGTGTCCCGGTCGCAAACGATCTCCTCGGGGTAGCCCTTGGAGCGAATCCAACYGGTGTATAAGACCTCGGCTAACTCCGGTGCCTTTGCGTGATAGCGGCAAGGCAAAAACATGGCGTACTTGGTGAGGCGGTCGACGACCGTGAGGA